TGTCGACATGCTAATGTCAAACGCAAGGCAACTATTCGCCACAACGCTGAAAATGTGGTCATTTGAACAGTTCATTAAACTCTATTGATATAAATTCAGCTGACCTATACACAATTGATTTTTCAACCATGTTTTTATGGGGAGTAAGGGGTAGGTTCTAACAACACTACCTACTCAAGCCAACCTCACCTGCACGTGCCAGAGATATAACAAAAGGAGACTTACCAAGGAGGTAGATATAAACTAATCTGCACAACCGAATACCTGGCAACGGTAGCGAGACTACCTGCTACCGTGGTGCTCCCTGCTAGATAACCGACGAGGCAATGGCGACCGAAGCATGGCGGAGATTCCATGCCGAATGTGAGGCTATAGCGAGCCGTGGGACAAGGACTTCCAGAAAGGGCTAGATCTATGTAGGAGTACGGAAACGAAAATGGAAGCAAGATTTAAAAATAACCTACCCCAGGAGGGTACCGCACAAAGCGGGGAATCCCTCCACGAGAAGAGAGGGGATGGGGAACCCTGTCCTTCGCTCGACTCGTGCTGCTCCACGTATTCTGGGGGGAGCAAAATTTTGCAACCTGACTCGAGCGGCAACAGAGAAGAAAGAAGACTTGAAGAAGAAGAAGCAAACATACAAGAAGGAACAAGATCAGAAGAAACAAAGAACCCATTTGCAAAGAAAGGATTGAAGAGAACACCACCGGCGAAGAAAAAAGAAAACCAAGGGCAAGGAGAACCTAAACTTGTTAAAGGTAAGGTACAAATTAAGACGATCAGCCTAGATGAAGATGGAGATGTAACTAGGCAAAAACTGATGGAAAAACTTGGCAGACAAATCGAGGACTTGCTCGAATTTGTAACGCCAAGACACAATGTCCATGGGGACATAAAGAGGAAAGTAAATGATCTGACTACAACCTATAATAGGATGCTTTACCTTAAAGAAGGAAAAATACAACAGAGTCATAAAGGAAGCATGGCCACGGCGACAACTCAAACATCGCCTAACATACGCCCCTGCAAGAGCGAAGAAAAGGGCATTCAAACGGAAAGCCCAGTCTCTAGGAAGAGAAAGATAACAACCCCAGAACCAGCAGTAGACTCCCCACGAAGAGTCAAGCGGAAAATCATCGAGGGCATGACAAATAAGAAACTCCCGCTCAATCCTCCAGTGCTTGTGGAAATGGATAACACCCCAGCACACAGCGCAGCCACTGAGGATGAGAATAGAAACGGGAAATGGGAAAAGGTGGCCACAAGGAAGAGACAGCGACCTGCACCAAAACTATCAGAGGCCCTCATTATACAGAAGAAGGGCACAATGAGCTATGCTGAAATACTCAGCAGAATTAAAAAAGATGATACTCTGAAAGAAGTAGGAGATAACGTCTCGAAAATCCGAAGGACAGCAACTGGTGATATGATAATTCTAATGAACAAAAACAGTAACGGCAAAACATCAGACTACTGCCAAGCCATTAAAGGGGTACTGGGCGAAGAAGCTGCCGTCAGGAGCAGAGTACCTGAGAAGACAATCTGTGTCAAGGACTTAGACGAAGTAGCCACGAAAGAAGAGATAAGGACTGCTCTCGAAAGTCTTACCGGGGGAAATGGTACCGTAGGCATAAATAACATTAAATCTTTAAGGAAGACATACGGCGGAATGCAATCAGCACTGATAACATTACCAGTCGAGCTCGCCAACAAAATCCTTGAAATAGGAAAAGTCCGTATAGGATGGGTGGTGTGCCGTATCCGAGAAGTACTTAAACCTTTGAAGTGTTTCAGATGCTGGAACTACGGACACCTAGCAAAAACGTGTAGGAGCCCTGTAAACAGGTCCTCGTGCTGCGTTAAGTGTGGTGAAGAAGGGCATAAAATTGGCGTGTGTATACAAGATGCCCACTGTGTCCTATGCAGCGATAATGGAAAAGAAGAAGCTAGTAATCACATAGCCGGAAGCAGCCAATGCGCTGCATATATAAAAGCAATCCAGGAGTTAATTAAGAAAACAAGATCAAGGTCCTACAGATAAACCTAAATCACTGCAAGGCTGCTCAGGACTTACTTGGGCAGATAATACACGAAGAAAAGATTGATCTTGTAATAATATCGGAACCGTACAGCGACATAGAACACCCAGGCTGGACCTCTGATAAAACAGGTAAAGCTGCTATCTGGTCCTGTGGTAGATTCCCGATCCAAGCCATAATAAAGGTCGAAGAAGGTGTTATCGGGGCCAAAATTAACGGTACTCACGTCTATAGCTGCTATGCCCCACCTAGCTGGAGCCAGCAAGAATTTGAGAATATGCTGGACCTAATAACCATTGCCACCAGAAACCAAAACCCAAAAGTCATCGCTGGTGACTTTAATGCTTGGGCAATAGAATGGGGTAGCAAAAGAACGGATAAACGGGGCCAAGCATTATTAGAAGCATATACAGAATGGGACTTAACTCTGTTGAATGATGCTAAGATGCCTACATTCGTCAAAGGTAAAGCGAGCTCGTATATAGACTTGACCTTCGCAAGCAACAGCATCGCGAAACACGAGACAAGATGGCAGGTAACTGACATCTACACCCATAGTGACCACTGCGCCATCACGTGGCATATCCCTTGCTGTAAAGAGAAGCGCCGGAGTCAACAAGCGGGCAAGCCAAGGGGCTGGAAAACAGAAACCTTCGACAGAGACACATTCCGTATTGCATTAGAGGGAGATGAGTACAGAAAACCTCAAAGCACCAAGGCGGAGGAAATCGTCGAAAACATTATGAAGAGAGTAACGGAGGCATGTAATGCCACGATGGCTAGATGCGGGAATGCAATAAACAAAAGAGATCCGGTCTACTGGTGGAACGAAGAAATCAAGGAAATCCGAGTACAATGCCTGAAAGCCCGAAGACTAGCGCAACGAGCAATAAGAAAGGAATCGTACCCTGATTTGCATATGAAATACAAGGAACTGCGAAGTAAACTCAACAGAGCAATAAAAAAAAGCAAGAGAGCAACCTGGGTTGAATTACTCGAGGACGTGGACAATGATCCATGGGGAAGACCATACATTATTGTCATGAAGAAACTGAAAGGGTCTACACAACAACCTAGGAACTCAGAACAGCTAAGACACATCGTTAGAACACTGTTCCCACAACAGGAGGTATCAAATTACGAAATAACAGGACTCCTAGAAGAAATACCACCCATCATGATGGAAGAACTCGTAGCAGCCTGTAAAACGGTGAGGAATAAGAAGGCACCTGGAATGGACCGGATACCTAATGTGGCCCTAAAAGAAGCACTAGCCGAAAACCCGCAAATGTTCCTGGATGCCTACAACAGGTGCCTTGATGAAGGAACTTTTCCCGAAGTGTGGAAAAGACAGAGATTAGTACTCATACCCAAAGGTAACAAAGATCCAGAACAGCCATCATCATATCGACCACTCTGTATGCTCGATACGGCAGGTAAGATACTGGAACGAATTATCTACAATAGGATAGAAGCTGCGATTGGACATGTCCTCAATAGTAAGCAATTTGGCTTCCGAAGAGCGCGGTCGACGCTGGATGCAATACAACGGGTAGTAAACATCGCTAAAAATGCCACGAACGGTAAGCGCTGGAAAGGAGGAAAGAAAAAATATTGCCTGCTGGTTGCCCTAGACATCAAAAACGCATTCAACTCGGCAAGATGGGACAGCATATGCGCGGCGATAGACAGATTAGAAGTACCACAGTATCTCAGAAGAATAATACGAAACTATCTCCAT